AACAGTGGCATTACATCTGGGTGAAGAACTGGTATCTAAGGGAAGGTGATGGTGTGTCACATAGAATGTTGTTTTATTTAGGGGAAAAAAATGAAAATTCAGAAAAATATCCATTCTGCATTATCCTGCTAGTGATTGCAAGGCCAGAGCTGGTAAAACAATTTACACTGAAGTGATGAAGAAAGTGAGTGTGATGGGAGGTTGCTATTCCTTTTATAAACCAGTGATCAGTGAGCTCCCCACCCACACCAGCTCACGATTTTCTCTGAGGTAAAATGTCCTAATCCTTCCTGACTGTTTTATCTGCTCACGTGGCTTCACTAAATATCCAACTTTCCTCTTTTTGTTCTGATGTTACTCCTTTTACTTGGCCCAGCTGGTCCAGATTCTCCTTTGTCCAGTTTCTATTAAAATCCTCCTTTTCTACAATGTCTGTAGAATGATTCAGCCCTAAAATGTTCTCCTATCCCACCAGTTCAGCCTGTGCACCTTTTTTGGTCTCAGGAATTGCCCATGTAATTGCTTGGGTACCTATGAGGAAGAGAGAGCACAACAGCACCTCTCACCCTCGTTTTCCATTCAGATGTCAGCATCCCTAGCGACTGCAGCCCCCAGCCACATCGGCAAGGAAAGCCCTGCTCAGCTCCAAGCTGGAGAACCTTACGGGGAGACTATAATTACCAGGGATGCTCCGAACTTGGCCGCACAAGGCAGTGAGCAGCCTGACAGAGCAGAGCGTAGGTGCTGGCACTGTGGGGAGCCTCTGCTTGGGCAGGAGACCTCTAGTGGTCTTTTCCAGCCGAAATCCTGCTGTGAAAGTGGTACCTGAAATCCAGAGCTTCCGTATTTCCCTGCTTCGTTAACCCAGTGAAGTGAATGAAATTCAGTGATGGGAATTTTAAACTTCCTGAAGTAAGACACAGCCCGGAGGAGTAGTGAGGGACTCCTTGGTCGTAGATTTTCCCAACAAGAGAAGCATCTACTGGAAGGTGCCTGGACTACATGGACTGTGTGACTGAGAGGGCCTGGTTACTCATCCCTTAAACACAATAATTTTAGGCTCAGGTGTGCTTTCCCCTCCATGCTTTTGCTCTCTGAGGCTCAGATTTATCACTGCCATGGAAAGGGGAGCTGTGCTGGCAGTGGAGTATTCACCAGGAGTGGTTTTGTCTCAGCCACCGAGTGATGCTCCAGGAAACACTTTTTCAGCTTTTGGTCCTTGAGTCTGAATCCTGAGAACCCAGTTGGCCAAGACCCTGAACTACCTGATTGAGCTTCAGACAAGGCTGTGTTGTGAGTGGTAGGGAGTCTGAAAGATATTTGAAGGATAGAAAGAGGTTTAAAGGCCAGAAATAACTGCTGTTCCCTCTCTTGTGTGTCCCCATTTTCGTTCTCTCTTCCTGCCTCCCTGATGCTCAGGCCAAGAACATCATTTACAGCCTTGAAGGCCTTGAGGAGCTTGAAAAGCTGGAGACTCTGCATCTGCGTGACAACAATCTTGAGGCCCTGGATGGATTCTCTGATAACATGAAGTGCCTGCAGTACCTCAATCTACGGTGGGTCCTCCCTGCTCTCTGCTGGGACCAGAGATCCCTTCACCAGACTGCACTCCTATTTAGATCCTTAGGATTTTCTGGGTGTTTTTTGGAAGTTGAAGACCTGGTAGGGATGGGTTGTGCCCACCTTAGCTGCTGAACACCAGTTAAGGATATTTACCATCCTTAACTGGTGTTCAGCAGCTGAACTGGTGATATTTACCATCCTGAACTAGTGTTCAGGCATTGTAACAACCAGGGCCTTTCCTGGACTTCTTAGAAAATATCAGCCTCTCCAGTCATTCTCATACCTCACTGCAGGCTTTTCGTTCCTTGTCATAAGTTAGTTGGGTCCCTCAAAGTGTGTTCTGCCTGCAAATGCCCTTTAGTTCTCAGTGTTTGCCGTGCGGGGCCATGGTGATGTCGCACAGTTCAATGGACTGGCCACAGAGGAATCCAGAGGAGATGTCCTTTTTGTCCCTCAGTCTGGGGAGCTGCAGACAGATCTGGATCTTAGGTGACAGATCTGTGGTCTGTGGTCTCTGTTCCCTCATGCTGCTAAGTTTTGCTTTTACTGTCTTGTCCATTACTGTTCCAAAGGGATTTCACTACTTGCATGGGTCTCTGTCCTCTGCTCTCTGTGCTTCCTTTTCTTCAGGAACAATGGGATCAAAAGCTTTCGGGAGGTGGAAAAACTGCAGGTTCTCCCCATGCTGCAGGCACTGGTGCTGATGGACAATCCATGTGCCGAAGAACCCAATTACCGGCTGGAGGTCCTGTCCCGGCTGCCACAGCTGCAACGCCTCGACAAGGAATCAGTTGAGGAAGAGGAGCGGAAAGAGGCGGAGAATATCCGTCAGACAAGGAAGGAAAAAGAGAAGGTGAGAACAACAGTGAGGGGATTAGAAGGAGGTGAAGAGAGAGGAAAAGGACCAAGCACACTGATAAAGCCTCTTCTCCACTATATTACGTGAGGAGAAGGGTGAGGGATGTCAGTCTCAAGAACACGAGAGCTTGAAAAAGAGGCTAGGCTTTTGCAACCTGGTTGAGGTGGCCAGCATGCAACCCTGCTGCCATTTCTGACCAACTAGCAAAGGAGAGCAGTGAAAGGGGAAGAGACATTGGGCATGGAGTCATTAACTTCTCCCTCCTCCCTTCTTCAGGAAATGGAAGAATCTCTTGAGGATACAGTGACTGAGTGACCGTTTTTAACACCTGTTCCCAGAGGCTGTCAAGATGCAGTGATGCCTTTCCCCATATGTGAGGCTGGGAAAGTGAGAGCTGTAGGTACCAGCTTCACCTCATTTTACCTCTGGAGAAAAGAGGAGTGCTACCCACCTTGGTCCTGGAAGCTGCCCTGAGGCACTGCAGTGTTTTTGCAGTCACTGCACAATGTTCTATTCTCCGTAGGCCTGAGAGGGGAAAGGGGAGAGTTACAGGTTCTGTGGTTCTATTTGATTCCCAAGAACCTTGCAAGATTTTCTGATTTGAATAAAAATAATTAATGAGCCTGGAGTGACTGGAATTGTTTATCCTGCACACCCACTCCTATTCCCTGGCTCTCTCACCCTCATCTGTCTACGTCTATCCCTTGCTGCCTGCCTCTCTCTGTCTCTCCATCCCCTACGTGCTGTTTGCAAAGCTTTGCTAAATCCTGACTCATCGCAGCTCTGGGTCACATGCTGCTGTCCCGGCCCTATCAGGGGCGTCTCCATCCTGCTGCTGCCGCCACCGTTGGCTTAGAGGACACATCATCTCCCCTTGAGGTCCTGCATCCCTCCTCAGCTTCATCCTCTCTCCTTTCTACCAGCACTTTCTCAATCTCTCGTCCACCCCTGCCCTAGGAAGGTAAGTGTCTCCCCTCACGGCCAGCACATCTCTCACTGCGTGCATGTTTTTGCTGCCCACCTTGTGCCCCCCAAACCCCACACGCACTTTGGGGTCCCTGCGGAGAAGGACCACGGTGAGCGGCATTAACAACTCAACTCCCTTCACTTCCTCCCCCTGCTCCTCCCACCTCTCTCTCCTCACCCCCATCCTTCTGACTTTTCTTTCATATTTTAATTTCAGGTACTCCTTCCTTCCCAAGCCCCCCCCCCGCTTTCCCCTCCCGGCAGTCATAATTTCAGACGTGAACCCAGGGAATTGCAGGAGGGGGAGCAACCAAGGAGGATATGTGGTGCTCCCAAGGGCGCTGTTGGGAGGTGCTGCGGGATGGAGCTTTCCCCGGGGGAGGGGTGGTAGTGGGTAGAAGGCAAGGCTCAGTCTGGGCACCGCTGGGGAAAGGATCCAGCCTCAGAGCGGACCAGCCCCCCCAGTCTCCCGAGGTGTTGACATAAACGCGAGCGCTCAGGGAGAGGGAGGGAGAAGAGGGGATGTTTTCCTGTTTGCACAGCCCCACACCACAGGGGAGGAGAGCAGGGAGAGGAGGTGACAGTCAAGCAATAGCTGCATCAGTCACGGCATTGCAGCAGTGCGGGCTTCCTGGGAGCAGTGCCCAGCCCGGGGGAATCGCAGTAGCACACAGGACTGGTGGGAAAGGTCTTCACGGTGCTGGCCTGGCAGAGACAGGGAATTGCTGCTAGCGCCAGCTCCACAGCAAGGCATTGCAGCAGCACCAGCCTCCCAGCATATGCTGCCCAGCCCCTGTTCACGGGGGCTGCACAGCCTCCTCTCTCTTCCTGAATGTGGTCTGTGGCTTCTCAGCTATGGCTCCATCCCAATCCCTTATCCCAGCTTATCCGCCTCTGACCTCCTTTCAGGACAGTGCAGCTGATACCAGGGATTTCAGGGTGGTTCTGTTCAAAAGAGAGCAAATGCAGGGGACACGGGGTAGCAACACAAGTGGAGAAAAGGGTTTAAAGGACTACAAGGGAGAGAGGATGGTGTAAGTGATGGGGTGGGGCAGGCTAGGCTGGATTTGGGCTTGTCATTTGGCTTCCTCGGATATGGCTCCAAGAGAGGCAGGTGGTTGTGACCACAGGGATGTGACCAGGGACAACGTGACCAGATAAGCAGAGAGGCACAGCATCTGGCACGGGTGTGCTGTCAAAGATGACTTTAAGTGGGGTCCTGTCCCTCTGTACCCCATGGAGGTTGTTGAGGCACGGCCAGGACACTGCTGCAAAGGAAGCTCGCGGCTGGCTGCGCCGGCACGACTCTGGAGGAAGTTCCTGTGGCGTGTGCCAGATGGCGTGAGGAGCACTGCCAAAGCGGCTGATGGGGGATCCCAGCCCAGATGGACATGGTGGAGGGCCCTGTGCAGGCTCTAGAGAGCTCTGGAGTCGCTGACTGAAACTCCCCACACAAGAAGCTCTGGCTGAAACTTCAGAGCAGCAGCACGATTTCCTTACAGCCTTGTGATTTCCACCCACCCGGGGCAGTGGCGTTGAGCACTGACTCCAGCTTCCCCATCCTGCTTCTCAGCTCCCCTCAGTGCTGTGATGTGCTGGTTCAAGCTCATTTTCAGCCTGTGCTGGCTGTACCCCTGCTCACACGCACCATGGGGAGGTCCTGGCTGGGGCTCCATGGCTACTCTGGCCTCTGCCAGCCCTGCTCAGGGTTGAGGGAATCATTTGTGGGAGCCAGGGAAGGAAAATTCGGCAGTGCTGGGACCATGGGGGGGACACATGCCTCATTGCAGCACCCTGGCATTGCACAGCCCCCCAGCCAGGGGAATGAGAAGGTTGGCATGAGGGGAATGAGCTGATTTGGAGCCCCTAGAGAGCAAACTGCAGCAAGAGAAGTTCTTTCAAACAGCCATCATTACCCACCAGCATATTTTCTACTTCAGGTTTAACCCGTGCTCCAAAATGCTAGGCTGCCTCACCCCTTCACCCAACAGAGATCCAGCCCAGTCTCATCTGCTTCCCTGCCTGCTTTCCAGCCCTGCGATGGGCTGGCAGCTGGGCCAGGTCCCCTCTCCCTCTTTGCCACTCTTTGCCATGTCTGAAGCACCATGGCCTTCAGCAAGATGGCTCCTCAGGCTGCTCCTCCATGCTCCTGCCGCCTTGGCACAGCCTGACCGTGCAGCTCACAGGGGACACAGGGAGGGCGAGCAGGCACTTGCCAGGGGGGACATGGCTGGGGTCTGGGACAGGCAGGCTGGGATGGCTCTCCCGCCAGGGCTGGAGAGCGGCTGGGGGTCCCCCCTGGCTGGCTGCCGCCCTGCCCTGCCCATCATGTTCAGCTGGCTCCCCATTCGCTGCACAGGGACACAGCAGCCACTTGCTGCCTGGCCTGGCAGGCGCTGTCCTCGCCTCCCGGCAAGGGGACAGGAGACGCCAGGAGCTGCTGCCCCGTCCTTGACACCAGAGCCAGGGGCACCTCCTCACTGAGCCAGCTGATCCCTCCCTCTCTGCTGCTCGTGGCACCCTCTCCATCCCTGCCATCCTGGCTTGTATCGAGTGCTGTACTGTTGATGATGCAGGGAGGGAGGGCAGAGTCTCCCAGTTTGTCAGCTGCAGCAGAGGGGCAGAGTCAATTCAAATAGATAGCCAGTTCCTGGAAAAATGTTCATAGATTACTGTAGTCTGGGTGAATTTCTAAATTTCCTGGGGCAAATAGTTTTAGCCCAAATTTCTAAGGTCCTTGAATTGCCTTCTCTCTGTCAGTCTAGACATAGAAGGGGTGAGCACCACATCCTGAACATATCCTGTTCTCTCGTCTCCACAGACTCACTATGGCAGTCGAGAGAATCCATGCCCGTGAGATCCTGGACTCCCGTGGGAACCCCACCGTTGAGGTGGACCTCTACACACACAAAGGTATGGGGGTGAGGATAAGAGACAGAAGGCAAGCCCTGCCCACCCCAGCAGAGTTGGTGCTGTGGAGCAGTCTGGCATGTCAAGAGCATGGAGAGTCCTCAGTGGTGAACCCCCAGCAGACAACAAGCCAGGGGAAGAGGCAGAGACCAAAACTCTGCTTATAGCTCTGCTTGTGCCTGTGCTCAGCAACTCTGCACACGTACTGGGCAAATCACGACAAGACAACTGGCTGTCCTGTATGGGACTTGAGCTACGCACCTGCTCGTAGCAGGGACAGAAGGTCTTTTTATCATAAATGTCTGCACCTTCTCATCATCTACCCCTGCTGCAGCTGTGCTTTTAGTCCTGGGGCATGGCAGAAGTTTGGTAGCACATCCATGGACATGTTCCATAGAAGGGGTAAAGCTTTGTTCCTGAGATCTCTGTGCAGCTGACATCTCCATGTCCATGCATGGGTGTCAACTGGAAGAGCTGCATTTGCAGTGGCCCCAGGGGCCACTGAGGGGCTGAGGGGTGAGGAGCAGTGAGAGGTCAGAGCAGACATGCAACCATTGTCTTCCTTCTTCCGTGAGGTAGAAGCCTCCGTCTGAGGGGGAGGAAGCTGAGGGCAGCTGTGAGTCAGGCTGCCTCTGGAATTAGGAGGAGGGCTGAGGAACCAGACATCCACTCATCACACACAGTTCTGGGATCAGTATCTCTGGATGCCTGACATCCACCTTCCTCAGCCTGGAAGCCTTAGGTGCATCTATTTCTGCCACTGAGGTGCTCCACCTCTGAGAAGACCAGCCACAAGCAGCCAGCCAGTGGGGCCATCCATTTGCACAAGCAGTTGTTGCATCCTTTGCTATGAAAGCAGGGCAGGATCAGGTGCATGAGGGTTTTTGTCCCACGCTCCTGTTTTGCTGTTTCCCAGGCATGTTTCGAGCAGCCGTCCCCAGCGGAGCATCCACTGGTATCTACGAAGCGTTGGAGCTGAGAGACAATGACAAGTCACGTTTCCTTGGAAAAGGTGGGAAAATGCCTGCTCCACAGCTCATCCTCGGGGCTGCCTGTGCGTTGGGCTCTGCTGGAGGGGACTGCCCACCCACTGGTGTGACACACGTGTCCCACTGCCCTCAGGGAGACCACAGAGGCACAGACCTGGCGTAAAGTGAAAGATCAGGCCTCAATCTTCCCTCGCTGTCTCACTCTCTCAGTCTCTCTATTGGTCCTCTCCCTCCCCCTTTCCACTCTTCTCTCTGCCTCACTCTCTCTCTCTCTCTCTTTCTTTCTCTGCCTCTTCCCTTCTTTAGGGGTCCTGCAGGCCGTGGATCATATCAACAGCACTGTCGCCCCAGCTCTCGTGGGCTCTGTAAGGATTTCTCTTTGTTCTCCCTTGTCCAACGCTTACTCCGGTCCGTCTCTGTCCCCTGATCTCTGTCTCTGCCTCTCTTCATCTCACTGGGTTAACAGACATAGCGATGCTCTCTGTGAACCTCGGCACACCCCTCCTGCCCTCCATGCCTATGTGTGTCCACAGCAATCTTTTCTCTGGGAGGAAAGGATTTAACTCTTCCTTGGCCACCGCAGCCTCTGTGCAGCCTAACTAGTCCCCTCGGTGCTCCCTGTAGAGCTCACCCCCTCTTTCAGCTGTGCTCTCCCTCAAGCACTGAATCACATCCACACATCTGTGGCCTCATCCTGGTGTGATGAACAATGCTTGAATTGTGCAGGGTCTGGCACAGCCTTGCAGAGCAGTGGTGTGACATCTACAACCTCTTTACACCTGAAGACCTGGAGCCTGCTTTGAGGAGAGCTGACTGAAGCCACATATTACATGCCATGTAGCCCATGGTTGGCTCTGGCCGAGAGCCCAGTTCTCTCCACCGCTGAAAAATACCCAGCGTGGTGGAGGGCAGCCCGTCTTGGGTCTAATCTTGCTCTCCACCTCACTCCTGGGGATGGCTTCATCCAGTCTACATTCGCTTGCTTGAGGTTGAGCATGCTCTGTTGTTCTGCCTAGCTTCTGTGTGACCACAGCACCACAAAGCTCCCTGAAAGTTGCCAAAAGGCTGGGTAACTCCCCGAGGGAGTCCTGTGTCCTCAGCAATGCGTGGCCTTGCCTGGACTGCAGCTGACCCCCTCTCCACCATGAGTACATCTACACTGCACATCAGAGACACCAACATGGCTAAATACCAAGGCATCAGTTTCCAGAGCTTTGTGTGTATATGTTCCCCCACAAGCTGAACAGGTCCTTGTAACCCCAGCTTCTCCATCAATGCCTCCTTTCCCGCACACCGGAGCCAGCAGCTCTTCCTATTGTCCCCTTCTCAGGAGGTGTTTCTTTCTTGCAGGGCCTCTCTGTTGTGGATCAAGAGAAGATAGACAACCTGATGCTTGAGATGGACGGCACAGAGAACAAATGTAATTATCCCTCTTTTTGGCTGGGAAATTATGAGCATAGGAGGCTGCAGGGCTGGAGTAGGGGGCACTGTCCAAGCTGTAGTGAGCCCAAGGTTGGACTGGCAAGGGCACCCACTGGGCAGGATGTTGGCACCTGAAAAGTCAATCTCCTCCTTTGCCCACAGCCAAGTTTGGTGCCAACGCTATCCTGGGAGTTTCACTGGCCGTGTGCAAGGCGGGAGCTGCAGAGAAGGATGTGCCCCTGTACCGGCACATCGCTGACCTGGCTGGCAACTCTGACCTCATCCTTCCTGTGCCAGTAAGACTCCTCTGTCCTTCACATCCACCTTCAGAAGCTCCAAAAGACTGTTGTTTCCAAAAGAAACTCCAGGGGTGTTGGGAGGTAGATAAGGAAGGGATATGGGATTGAAACATCAGCTGAGTGCACTGCACTTGTCAGGGAAGCAAACCGAGGCCTGAGATTCACCAAGTTTCAATTGGAAAAAAGGAGCCTGAGAAGGATACAGTAGAGATTGTGGTGGGGGGTTGACTGAAGATCTCATTCTTAGCGCAAGAACCCTCTGGGGCACAGTTCAAAACAAGGGTGTACGGGTCCTTCACACCAGGGGAAGCTGCCTTGAGAAACTCTTTCTCAAAGGGAGTTGTGGATGCTGAAATTTTCTCAAGGTAAAGAAGAAAAGTCCTGGAAGAGGGACTGATAACATTGTTGATAAACATGTACAGATAAACAGAGCACAGATAAACGCACATAGCTCAGGAGATCTCTGAGAGGGAAACAGGTGGGAAAATCCTCCCCAGCCATGTGCTTTGAGCCATTACTGGAAGGAAGACTCCAGGCTTATGTGCCTTTGGTCTGATGGTTGTAGCTGATGTGCTTACGTTACCCTGTGGGATGTGGCACGAGCGGGCACGGTGACACATCTGAGAGCCACCTCTCAGGGGTGCCAAGACCGGTTCCTTCAGCTCTCTTATGGACTCTTCCAGGCTTTCAACGTGATCAATGGAGGCTCCCATGCAGGCAACAAACTGGCCATGCAGGAGTTCATGATCCTGCCTGTGGGAGCCGAAAGCTTCCGTGATGCCATGCGCATCGGGGCTGAAGTCTACCACAACCTCAAGAGTGTCATCAAGGAGAAGTATGGCAAAGATGCTACCAATGTGGGTGATGAGGGAGGCTTTGCCCCCAACATCCTGGAAAACAGTGAAGGTGAGAGCCCTACAGAGATAGGGTACCCCTGCCTGCAATGCTATGGGTTCCTACTCCCAGCTCACAGCATTCCCCAGACTAATTCAAAAGATGATGCCTCAGTATCATTGACCTCCTGTGTTAGGGAATGTTTCTAAGCTCCTTCTCCTTGGGATGGCCTTGATCTGTCACAGCCTTTCTATACAAACCTTTTATGTGTGTGCACACTTACAAGACCTTCCACAAACATGTCTTCAAGCTGTGGAATTGCATTTTAATTCCTCCTTGTCCCTTTGGACACAGCCCCTACAGCTCCTTGGCATGTTTCTGTTGTGTTCTGGGCTCCCTTCCACTTCTCCATCACACCACCAGACTCTCAGTGGCTCTAGAGACCTTCCCAAGGGAGGCTCCCACCAAAAGGCAGAGCTCTCTGCATGGGCTGACTCTCCTGACTGCAATTCTCCTCTCAGCTCTGGAGCTGCTCAAGGAAGCTATTGACAAGGCGGGCTACACAGACAAGATCGTCATCGGAATGGATGTGGCAGCCTCCGAGTTCTACCGTGATGGCAAATATGACCTGGACTTCAAGTCCCCAGATGACCCAAGCCGCTACATTTCTGGAGATGAGCTGGGTGACCTCTACCAAAGCTTTGTACGTGATTACCCAGGTGAGCTGCTGTGCGGAGCTGTAGGGAATCAGTACTGGCGCTGCACACTGGCCAGGCACAAACCCTCTGTGTTTTTGGGGTGGGAAGGGAGGCAGCTTTGACTCATGCCTTTTTGGTTGTCCTTTCAGTGGTGTCCATTGAAGATCCCTTTGACCAAGATGACTGGGAGGCCTGGTCTAAGTTCACTGCCAATGTGGGGATTCAGATAGTGGGAGATGACCTGACAGTGACAAACCCCAAGCGCATCGAGCGAGCTGTTGAAGAGAAAGCCTGCAACTGCCTCCTGCTCAAAGTCAACCAGATTGGATCTGTCACAGAGGCCATCCAAGCGTAAGTCCAGCCCACTGCCCTTGTTGTCCTGTGAGTGGGCTGGTGATGAACCACAGCCAGGTGTCACGCTATGCACTGGGTGAACAGACTTGTGTCTCCACCAAAGTGTAGGCTGCTGAGAGTGGGAGCAGAGTGTGCCTAAATCTTACCCTGTGCAGGTGGTAATTGTAGGAGTAGGAGCTACTGACTGCATTTCTCACTCCTTGCAGCTGCAAGTTGGCCCAGGAGAATGGATGGGGTGTGATGGTGAGCCACCGATCCGGGGAGACTGAAGACACCTTCATTGCTGATCTGGTTGTAGGACTGTGCACTGGGCAGGTAGGTGAAACCCAGGCCATGCACAGGCCTGGAGGAAAACAAAGAGTGTCAAAACAGAATCCCCTGCCCTGCCATGAGAAACTGGTATGAGTCGTAACAGTGTCTTACAGTGTTTGCTTTGGGGAATGCTTTACAGATAAAGACAGGTGCTCCCTGCAGGTCTGAACGCCTGGCTAAATACAACCAGCTCATGAGGTAAGGGGGTCCAGGGATGGGAATGCAGAAGAGGGAATGGGGGAGTGACCAATTGGGTGGAAGAAGCTGAAAGCCCAAGGGTAGATGGGGCTCGTGGGTGAAATGTTACAAAGACAAGGCACAGAGATGACAGTATGATCCCAGGGAGGCCTCTGGGGCAGACTCCTTTCCTCCTCCTTGGCGTGAGGGTGCAGCCCTGCAGTCACGGCAGCTGGCAGGAGCTGAGCTCCTCGGGCACATGTCAGCTTCCTGCTGATGAGCTGCCTCTCTGACACCCTGGTGCCTCCAATGCTCCCTCACTACAAGGGCCTGATGTGTGCTGTCTCTCTCCTGCAGGATTGAGGAAGAGCTTGGCGACGAAGCACGCTTTGCCGGACACAACTTTCGCAACCCAAGTGTTCTTTGAACATTGTCCCCAGGGCACAGCCACCCTGCTGCTCTTTCCCACCTCACAGACTCTGAGCCCCCTTTTCCCTCCACTGCTCCCTTTTTTGCTCTTTCTCCCCACTCTGTCACCTGGTTTCCTCTCACCTCAAAAGCCCTCGCGTTCAGGTGTCCCTGGCTAGATGTACCCAGGTGAAGGATGAGAGAGCAGCCTACACCCCGTCCCTTGCTGTGGGGTCATAAGCATTCCTGGATCTAGGCGTTGTGTGTCTCTGTTGTTTGTGCAGGGCCATGCCTGGGCCGCTCCGCTCTCATGTGAGAGCACGGGAGCGCCTGCCCGGTGTGCTCCCTCGTGTGCCGAAGCATGTGCGGTGACCATCTGTGCGTCGGCCGGTGTGCTCGGACACTGCTGCACCTGTAGCCGTGTCCAGCCGAGTGTTGCCAGCGGCTCGCTCTCATTGTGCATGCGTGTACGTGTGTGTGTGTGTACGTGTCCTGGCCTACGGCGTCCCTGTGCCCCAGGCGTGTGTCTGCGCTGAGCCCCGGTGGGACCTGCGCACCCCTCGCCTCCACCCCGGCAGTGTCGTGTTGGGCTGTGCTGTGTTGGGCTGTGCTTGCCGGCAGCTTAGCGTTGAAGTGCACTGCTGTCTCACTCTGGGTGTGTGCGTGTGTGTGTGTGTGCTGTCAGTCTCTGGCTCAGCGCATAGTACTGTGGGGCAATATATTAAAGCACATCCGTTAACAAACCCACACTCTCATTTGCTTCTTGTGACCCTTTTCTCTCTGTTCCCTCCCCTCTTGCACTCCTTCACCCTCCCCTCCACCCATGATGTCTGCTTCACCTTCTGGACAGCCCATGCTCAGCTGAGCAACAGACAAACTACAGATCCCTAAACTCTATTAAAATGTATTTCACACCTGAGTTGCCTGACTCAGCCTGATGTTTATCTCTAGTTGCCAGTGTTTGAGAAGTAGGGATCTTTTGCCACCAGAGCAGAGGATGCTCACACAGAAAGGTAACATAAAAAGGCAGAAGGGACTGGCAAGGGGAAGAAAAGGCCCAGCTACCCACACTTGCTTTCACAGCTTTGTCCCAAGCCAGACTGCTCAGTTGGCCACCATCTGGGAAACACCAAAGGGAAGGCATGTGTGATGACTTGCCCCTGTCATCTTCACCAAACCATGTTGATGAAGATCTGCTGTGCAGGGAATTTAATCATGCCTTCCACTGATGTAGAGACCTCAGGGTGGGCCCCCAGCTGTCTGTCTGCTGGGCTCAGGTGATGGTACACAGAAATGGCAAGTCTTTTAGAGAGAAAATGCTGATTGTCCTCCCCCAAAAGAGTTTTGTAGAGCAGTGACTGGAGGCGTAGGTGGGATAGGTAGTCTCTCTCAGTTCCATCTGATTTCATGGGGGCAACTCAGCAGTACTTGGGGAAAGCCACCTGTGTTCCAGCCAGTGCCTCAGTAGGCTGGGTGCCAGCAAACCCCAGCACTTGCTCAACAAACAGCTTTGTTCTGGACTGACTCAGAGGAAGGTGGGGGGTTGGGGGTGCTACTGTGTGAAATCCAACTGGAGAATAAATGATAAAACCACCTCGCCCACCATTATATTCACATCAGCAGCCCTACTACGTTCTTGGGTACACTCAGATCCTGCCCCACTTCCCTACAGAAAGTTTCCAGACCCTTGCTGAACTCTTTTAATTTGTTTCTGAGGGTGCTCAGCAAGTCCCAATCCCCTCTTACTGTGTCCTAATGAGGACTTAAAAATCCAAGGACAAAACTTTAAAACACTAGCATTTCACTGCTGATCCTTTAGTAAACAGCACAGATTAAGGACTAAGTCCAAGAAGGGAAGACAAAGACTTTGGCACATGTGCCCAGAACTGAGAAGAGGGTGGGAGGGAGAATGCGAGGGTAGAGACAGGATTGGTTTCCAGGGCATCACCAGTGCACACAACGCTCATCTCAGCGGCAGGGAATGGCTTGTGCCCCGGCTGCAGCCCGGCTCTCGCCCGTGCTCTCTGGGAGCTGTAGTCCGGGTACCGCGGAGGGAAAGCTTTGCTCCATCTTCCCCCGCCCCTCGTCCCCCTCGGCGGCACCCCCAGCTCTGCCCCCCAGTCATGCCTCCCGCAAAAGCGGCTGTGTGCGTGACAGCGCTGTTTTCCTGAAGGAATGTGCATTTTGGGTACAGGCAATGGGCTGTCTTTTCCCGTTGCACACTTCACTGCTCCTTTGTTTTAGATAGTGGGATTTTGTGAACAGTATGGCTACTGCTTAGCAATCAGGGCAGTTTTTTTGGAAAAAAAACCCCAACTTTGTTACGTTTTCATATTCCCAAAAGGCCCCCCCCCCCCCCCCCCCCCCCCCCCCCCTTTTTCTTTTTCTCTGCAAGGAAGGCAATTAAGTGCCCAAGGTAGTTGGCATTGCCCATTTAAATGCAGCCAGGCTGCAACAGCAGGGAAGTGGTGTACATGTCCCTACAGTGTGGGAAGTATTTGTTAGGCAAGAGTTTCTGCTGGCGAGGCATCACCACATCCCTGTGTCAGGGAAGGTGCGTGAAAGCCCTGAGGGGATGGGAACACATCCCTCCATTGCCGTACCTCACCTTGGTGCCTTTTCTACATCAAGAGTTCGTCACTGCTGGCACAGAAGGAATACGTGATGCTGGCATGTTTGCTTGGGTCACTGCAAATACTTGGCATCATCTAGTGCATCCTAAAATGCATATGCTGCTTTCCCTTTGGCTCAGCGGCAGAGATTTGGTTACAGTTTCTTTGTGGTAGAAATGTCCAAGCACTCAGCTATTCCCGCACCTGAGGACTCCTGTTGTATAAGCCGATGTCTCCATCAGATTACTGTGCTGTAACGTGAATGCAGAGTATGAGTAACAGCACGGGGATGGGCTGGCCATGTGACGCTATCTGTGAATGGAAACATTTGTTGGATTTGCTTTCTTTTACCTCTCAAATCATACTCTGCTTAAATTACGTTTGCAGAGGGATGTACAGCTGTTAAAGGGAGAAGTTAACATTAGCTGCTGCCTCTTCCCCCCTCCCCCCACCAAAGCCTGCAGATTTTTTTTTCTTTTTATTCTAAATACATGTGTGCACCCATAAATGAGCTGGAAGGGGAGATGTCACTGAATAAGACTTGTTGTAGAGTACAGAGAAAAGCCTTAATGATGAAGAGCTACCGAATTTTTCTAGTATGTTCTTATCTGTCTCAAGAAGAGTGGGATGTTGTCCAACCTTGGGAAACCAATTCATATAGGAGGCTGTCAAGGACACTGTCCTGATGAACATCTGACAAGAAGTCCAAAACTTTGGATGCTGGGTAATTCTTATGAGGTGCTGCACATCTTAATCAAAAGAAGAGTATTTGGCTCTGGCTGCTGGAAGACTAAATAAAGACAGCTTGGACGGGTTGGGTTGGCAGGAGGGCTTTACGAAGCTCTCTCTCTAGACAAAGATCAGCATACTAGAGCATTTTGTATCTCAGTGTGGAAGCAGCTGTAACTTGCTTCCTTATTCCTTCCATCAAGGACGCTTCTGTGTGCTATGTGTCAAAAGGGAAGTGCGGCTCCATGTATTTTTAGAGTAAGAGTTTCACAGGAAGATTAAGATGAGATGTTTGGAGGTCTGGACTTCAAACCCCTGCTAACAACAGGGCTAGCTCCAGACCTAGATGAGGCTGCTTGGGGCCTTGGCCAGGCAGTTTCTGACCAACTCAAAGTGAGGAGATTCCCTACTGAAACCTGTGTGTTGAACTACCTTTAGGAAGTAGGTTTTCCCTTTATCTAGTCACAATTTCCCTTCTTACAAATTTCATAGGCATTTCACTGTGTATCTGTCAGAAGAACTTGGCCTCGCTTCTCTGTAGCCCTACACACCAAAGGAAAAAAAAAAGAAAAAAGCCAAAGAGTCTAATTGGTTACCTCCTAACTTTTCTCTGCTCCAGGCTGAAAGAAGCAGCTCTTTCAGCCTCCCCTTGTATGCCATGAGCTCTAGCACCTCACTTATTCCATTCCCTCCCCCACAGGACTATCAGCACCTCTCTTGTGCCTTATTTCTCTATGAAGGCTAAATCCCAGCCAGGGCCTCTCCTTTTGCAGGCAGCTGTTTGTCCCCTCGTAGAACTGGAAAGCAGTGGGATGATGTGGAGAGATCTCGAGGTGGTGTATCCTATCTCCCTAATCCAAGGGAGGACCAGCTACACCCCAGGAAGTTTGATGTCTGTTTGCTGAGCCTCCTAGCTGGCTCACAGACTCTCCAGGTCATATATCCATCCTGAAGAGACTCAGCTATAATGCTCTTGGTTTGCCCAAGGCTTTCAATCTGTTAATTTCAAAGGTGAAATAATTTTATTTCCCATGTTCTGCAGCCAGCCCGCCTTGGTCTTGCTGCAGGAGCACACACAACCACTTGTGGTTCTCTTGTTTATTTCCAAACAGCAGAGTGTGGCTTGACCTAGCAGCAATTTGGCTATGAACATTTATGAGTGGGGAAAAGGAATGGTTGCCCTGGTCCTGCTTCTCTTTTGAATCACCCCTGATGTCTCTTCATAAACTAAGAGCACAGGCCATCTTTGGCTGGCTTCTTGGAATAAACCAAAACCTAGTAAGATTTTCATAAGGTATTGGAGTCTCTGCCTCTTCACTTATTGAAGTAAGAAATGACAGTAAAATCTTGATAATAAATTTAACAGTTTAGTCAAATTTTTGAACTGAAGCGACTGACTTAGTTATGGAAGATGATGACATGAAAACCACTTGGGGCTTGACATTGTGGATATATAGACTTGGTGTCACACACTACTCATCCAGAAGATCCCAGCAATACTAACCACTGTAGCTGCCACAGAGGCTTTTCCTCAAACCACAAACCTTGGGGATCTGGGTATTTTGTTTAGCATCCAGAGAACAAGGATCTTGACAAGATCTTCCTCCTTCATGAATCATCACTTTGGCCTCTAAGGGTCACACACACTGTGAGCTCAGGATGCAAGGCTGTCAACTCCTAAAGGCGACAGTTTGAAGCAGCTGTGACAACTGCAAACACCACCACCTCAGCAGCAATAATAATAATATTCTGTCTTCTTGTCTGGGACTCATCTTGGTGAGGCACTTTGTGAAGCAGATAATGCTTACCCCTGTGCTTGGCACCCACAGGGTGTTCTCTTCCACACAGCACCTCTCCAAAACAATATGTTGAAATGTTTTGGACTGACCACACAAAACCCAGTGGACGTTTTTGCAAACGTTAGCCATGGCTTTTTCAATCCCCCATGCCAGATGTGGGAACCATAGAGTCCTAGGGAACCACAGCACTTCAGGATTACTGCTGGGAGGGCAGAGGCCCCCAGCGAGGGACAGGACAAAGAGGCTGGGGAGAAGGGCGGATGTGAGAATGAA